AATATTTATCCACATGTTTCCAGTTTGTATATTCGGAATACGTGTTTGAGTTTCATACAAGTGCAAATCACATATGTTCAAATAAATTATATTCAGTAGCGATTTTAATTGAATATTTTGATTATTTATTTATTTTTTCAAATTAAAACTGAACTTTATTGACTGTGTCCTTTTCCAGACTTTTTATTAATTTATTGTAATTAATTATTTGCATGCAATTAAAAACTAATTTTAAACGATGCCAAAGAAGGATAACTTCTCACGCGCCTAAATAAGTACACGCACCCATTTTTTTATACAGATATTACTAAAAACCTGTGTTTGATTTAAGGTTTAGGAAGATTATATGATATTTGGGTATATGCGTGAATATCTGGTGAATTGATCATCATCATAAAAGATCTGTGTTTGATCCATAGAATGACTGACATTCTAATTGGTCGAGTATCATCTACACTATCATCATTTCTACTAGCTGTAAACGGTGTAAGTGGAATAGTGGATACATGTATGGGAGTTACATCACAATCATCAGTACTATAATTAAAGGATGGTGCGGATAGTTCCTGTTTTAATAACTGTAAGGTCATAATTAAATAAACATTACGTTTACAGATTGTTTCGAGAGAATATAACCAACAGCTATTTGCATTTGAAAATGATGGATTGTTGTGATTCCAGACAATTTGTTAAATATTTTATGTATCTTTAGATGCTTACGAACCACTTAGCTTCAGTACATTTTGTTTATTAACAATTTGTAAATCATTTATTAGCAAAATATTTATCTTTCCAATATTCTTTTAAACTTTGGTAAAGTCTCCAAACCCGAAACGTATTTTTCAAGAGGCTGAGAGGCAGCTTATTTTTTTCTTAGGTTTTCACGGTAGTACAGCTTAATCTGCTGATCACAACACACTCGTCTACTCCATCAGGCGCACCTATCCCATCGCCAGCTTCACTATAATGCTAAATTACATTCTCAACATTCATTTTAACAGAAATAAAGTATGCAATGAGAAAAAAAGATTTATTTCGATACTATGTCACCGGTCTCTTTAGTTTTTTTTTTCCCATATAAATAATATAAATAAAATCATTTGAATATCAAAATTAAGTAAATATTGAATACCTGAAACATTTATGTTTCAAACAGCACCATAAATGTACTAATTATGTATAATTAGTACAGAAATGACGGTATACAGAAATGATGAATGTAAAAGTTGTACGTGATAGCGGCAAAATTTTAGGGATATATTTTCACAACTAGCTTTTGCCCGCGATTTCGTCCGCGTTATCGTCGTTTTTCGTAAAAAAGTAGCATATGTCCTTCCTCAGGGTTCCGTGGTTTTGATGTGTTTTTAACTTTCGTATTTTAGTAGGGAAATATAATACTGTTAAAAATATCGCAATAAGGAACCGCAGAATATTATTATTATCACTGTGCTCCGAGACCATCAGCGTGTAACTCCTTGTATGTTATTATGTTAATGTATTGGTAATATTGTTTAGATCGCTTTCACATGAGTCTTAAGTACATATAGAATGAAAATACTTCAGCGCAAAGCTTCCGGGTAGACTACGTTGAAATTTGACCCGTCCGGAACGTGAACATAAAAAATTCTAGGACTGCTAACCCGGGAAAGACCGACATAACTGACCATGTGAAAAACAACTGACACCGAGATCTACTCCAACAACACGAAAGGTCTGCCCTTGAGCCTTATTTATTGTCATTGCATAACACACCGATACTGGGAATTGCGTTCTTTTAAATTGGAATGGAAAATTATTTGGTATTATGGGAATTCTGGGAATAAAGATGGTTTCTCCTGCACCGCAACCTATTAAAATTTGAGCCTCGATTACATTTTGTTGCAACTGGGTTACTTTAAGCCGAGTTCCATTGCAAATTTGTGGTGGTCTTAAATTTCGGAGCAGAATAATCGGAATGCCAATTTTTAAACAAATTTCATGAGAAGGAAGTACGGGCATATTTAAAGAATTTAAAAATTCTATCGGGTAATTAGTGGCTTCTTGTTCATCGGCCATTCTATTTATTGAACTATAAACTTTGCTTTCCCCCTGGATATTCGACAGTATTTTATTATTAATCTCAGATGCCTGGTCATTGCGAGGAGTTAAAATGGACCTTTCGCATAGCCAAGAATTGTTCTTATTTAATATATTTGTTACGTCACCGTAAACTGACGATGTAAGATGTTGTTGGGATTGCACTATACAACATAACTCAGGCGTCAGAATAAGTTTTCCTTGGTGTAGCAGTGGATAGGTATCTTTGGTGAAGGTATTTTCTTTAATAATATATCAGAAAATTCACGATCATCCGGGTTATCTACAGTTCTCACTCGCATGTTTATAGTCAAATGCACCGATTGTATATCACGCCACAAATAAGAGCTTTTCAGGCAAGCCCTAACCTCAGCAGCTCGGGTTCCCCGTGGTATTACTGTTAAGGTTTGTCGGAAATCACCACAAAATAAAACTGTGATACCGCCCATGGGTCGATCATTTTGTCTTATATCTCTTAAAGTTCTGTCTACCGCTTCTACTCCTTTTCGATGGGCCATCGTACATTCATCCTATAAGATTAAATTACACTTTGAACGAATATTTAAACACTACCAAAACAACTAATACGTGGTCCTAACTTTAGCTACCTTACACATAAAATCTAAGTGACTATTTGAACTAAAATATTCTTATAGAATTATAACCAGAAATATATACAACTCACAACAAAAAAGAAATGAAAATAAAGCTGAAACGCCTGTGCAATACTATCTACCTATACCTCCTTCACTTAAAAATAAATACTTATAACTACTTTAATTAATAAAAGTACCTACGCTTAATAATTTTTAATTTGAACGAATATTTAAACACTACCAAAACAACTAATACCTGTTTTACAAAATAACAACAAAAGAAATTCAAATAAACTATTTAAAGACTAAAAGTCGCGCTGATAAGCACGGTTTCGGTCTCCCAGGCGGGGGAGCAGATGAGAAATCCTCATGGATACCCTACAGCCGGCTGCAAGGTACTGACTAAAAAACACCCGTAGGGGCTGCCTCTGGCCGGGAAGGCCTCTAAGGCTTCATCGGAAGCGATCGTCCCCCAGGGGGGGGAGCGACGCAGAAAATAGATTTAGACAGCTCGCTCTCGGACCTTTGATACCCTACCGCTGCCGCGACCCGTGTCGAGCGCGGCAACCGTTACACAAAAATAATCCTTATAGCATGATTCAGTATTCACGTGCGACGGCGCGATGGCTTATTTCATGTATAAGTTTGGTGTTTCTATACCGAGTATTATAAACGTAAGAGTAAACAAATATGATCAGAATGCGCCGAACTGCTAAGCTATCGGGAGTTACACGTGTTATTGTGAGTCAACCATAAAAGATAGACATATGCTGTTGCGGGATATTTTTTAAACAATTTTATGTAGAATATTTCCGTCATACATGATTTCTATGTAACTTTAATCATTAAGGCTGCACACGCGACGGAAGCTTAAAAAATGAAGTAACTTCTCCCGTTTTCCCAACATTTCCCTTCACTACTCTGCTCCTACTGATTGTAGCGTGATGAAAAGTATACTATAACCTGCCCAGGAGTATGAAGAATAATTGTACCAAGTTTCGTTAAAATCCGTCGAGTAGTTTTTGTTTCTATAAGGAACAAACACACAGACAGACAGACAGACAGACAAAAAATTTACTGATTGCATTTTTGGCATCAGTATCGATCACTGATCACCCCCTGATAGTTATTTTAAAAATATATTTCATGTACAGAATTGACATCTCTACAGATTTATTATAAGTATAGACATTGGATATATATTTTTGAAAAACAAAAGATATTAAAAACGGATTATTTATATTTTATTTAATAAGACCAAACCATAACATGTTTAAAGTAACATACACAGAACATGAAGAATCGGGAACTATTTTAAGTTTTTTTCCTTTAGATGTATTTTTTTTTAAGTATATTTTACAGACATGTAATAAGTATGTAATCTTTATAAATAAATTAAATATTGCACACTTTATTTAAATTTTATATGTAATTCTAACAAGTGACACTTTTTTACTCATGGATTAGAATGACCCGTATATCAAAATGGCCACCTGACAAATCATTGAAGAATCTTAATCGTCTTTCGTTACCTATTTACCAATTTTATATCGTGGGGAAAATGCGTAATGCATACCCGGTCGCCTGACAAGCGAAGAGGTATGTAGGGCTCTCCTCCATGGATGCATCCAACAGAACTTCGTTCGACAAGTACTTAAGAAGCCTACTAGCCACTAAAAACCATGGCAGACCTTCGGCTGGGTGTGCAATAAGAGAAACCGTTTCAGAGTCACGGGGTCATCCTCTCCCTGTAGGAAGGAAGGACCTTCTGACGCCCAAGTACGAATATTGACAGCTCCGTTATGTAATCGTCTTATTTTGTATGGATAGAGCCAATTTGTTCTTACATAGGGTAGGCTGCTTAGTGTTCATAGAATCATACGATTATGGAGCTGTCAAAATTCATGCGTGGGCCTCTGGGGGCCTACCGCCAATCGGGATTGCTATCGCTTACGATTGCATTTTGTTATTTCTGAACACCGAAGGTTTTCATATGCCTCATGCTCTTTTTTTCTTTTGCATTGGTAATAACTTTATTTAAAAAAAACGTGAGATATTTGAAAACCTTCGGCTGCCAGAAATAACAAAATGAAATCGTAAGCGTAACCATAGCAATCCCGATAGGCGGTAGGCCCGGTCGCCTCTCCCGAACGGGAGAAACTTAGGCGCGTGAAACAGGTGAAGCCGTGCATATGCATGCGGGTGGTTGTCAACCATCCGCCTTGGTCCAGGTTCGTGGGGTGGAGACATGTTACCTGCTTACCTATCACAACAAAACACCCTTAGATTAGCAGGATATTGAATACGCTCATGATGAAAAGCTCAAGAATGCTCTTCTGTACGCTAAAATGGTTCGTGTATTTCCAGTTCGCTGGTTCACAACTGCCAGGTGTACGATGACTGCAACTTTTTTATGAAAAATAAAATGTGAATTATTGGATGGGATGATATAAAAAAAGTGTAACTCTGGTATAATGTGATTCAACTAAGAATAGGACCGACTGGGCGCCATATTGTGACGTCATAGCTGTTTTGCTAAACGTTTAGCTGTTAAAAACTGGAAATACACGAACCATTTTAGCGTGGTTACAGCTATGACGTCACAATATGGCGCCCAGTCGGTCCTATTCTTAGTTAAATCACATTATACCAGAGTTACACTTTTTTTATATCATCCCATAACTATCATTAGATTCCTTGACATTTTCCTTTATATAACTAGGTACTTGTACTTAGCATAGAAAAGTCACTGTTTCATTTTTTCCAGGTGCCTACATGGTGCTGAGCAACCCACACTTCTTGTTTGGTGACATTCGGTATAGGAACGGTGTCTTTGGCATGAACCCCGTAATCGACAAGCACGGCATATTCCTCGACATAGAACCAGTTAGTAGTACAATTTTTCTCTACTTATATGCCAATTATTGTGTGAGTTTGTGTATGTCTGGGTCGACTGATAGATTTTTTTAACCCCAACCCAAAAAGAGTGTTGTTATAAGTAAGTACCTATATGACGTGTGTCTGTCTGTGACATCGCAGGTCCTGAACGAATTTATTCCTAAAAATATTATTAAAATGGTTCTTTTATTATTATTATTATCAGTCTTTTAATGTCCCTACTGCTGAGGTACAGGCCCTTCCTATGGATGGAATAGGGAGATAGGGCAATGACCCACCACGCGGGCCCAGTGCGGATAAGAGAGTGCTAACGACTCCAGATACAGCCGGGACCAACGGCTTAATGCCTTCCGAAGCACGGAGGAGCTTGAGTTAGTAAATTTTTAGTCACCCATCCAATGACCAACCATGTCGAAAGTTACTTAACTTTAACGATCGCAGCCGAACGCGCTAACCACATGCGCCATCGAGATCCTCTTAATGGTTGGTCAAATGGTTCTTAGCTATCACTTATGAAGGTCTGTTCAGATGTTTGGATATCATCAATTCATCAGCTCCTTTCCTATTTGAGAAAAGGATCTTAAAAACTTCCACGTAGTTTGGTACTTACCTGTTGATTTAAACTGTGGTGCACTTTTACTTTGGTTCTATTGCCAAGACAAACAGGTAACCTTTAGCTAAGTACTGTGTAATTAAGGTTTATTACTGAGTGAAATATATCGACCGATATTCTTAAGGTGCTGTCCGAAGAACTGTTTTGTCGCGGGCGAGGCCGCGCCGCGCATGGCTGTCAAACATATGAGAAGTCTAACGTTCGAGGTTTAGCAGTTTTTCATCAAAATTTTGAAAATACCTGAAGTCGAGAGAGGGCACCAAACAAATAGTTTTCCGACGAAGTCGAGTAGAATAGTCGAAGCGATTAAGAATAGATAATATAAATAATAACTAACATTACAGTGTTTGGGTTCAACTAAGTATTACTAAAGTTAAATTAGTAATTATAATAAAGTTAATTACTACGTTTCATAAGTTCCCACTTGTGACTAGAATATTATCATAAGAGAATTTCTAAAGTCATTGCATTGTACGTAGAAAATAACAGAGACAGGCTCTCAGACAGAATACTTAGGTACCTATAAATAGTACTTAATATATGCACTCTAAAAGCCAAGTAGGTACATATAATAATTCTAAGTTTATCATTTCAGAACACAGGAACTATTCTCAGAGGTTCGAAAAGAGCTCAATTCAACGTCTTCATGCGGCCGGTGACTAGAGTACATGCCACACAGAAATTGAGGACCACGCTGACGCCCATATTCTGGATAGAGGAGGTCAGTCAGTATAGACTATATTAATATAATTATAATACTTATATCCATGTTGTTTTTATTATGTTGGCCTTATCTTTGGTAACCGATAGCAGACTATAAGAGCCTGCGCTGCGGTAAGCGGGAGCACCGAGCGGATGTCCGCACATTGTTTCATGCCATTTCATAGAGAAGTGCTGCAACGGGAGACCCGCCTCACGTAATGCAGCGCTCCTTTATGAAATAACATGAAACAAAATACCCTCAATTTAGGTACGTTATGTTTTTTATCGCGTCTAACTGTCAAACTCAGAACTTGATAAAAACCAGTAATATATCATATCGCGGCGCTCATGCTAGAGGGGCGGGCAGGTCTCATAACTAGATACCTAGTTATAACATAGTAGATAGGCATTGGCAAGATATTTACAGAAGTATTTTTGACTTACAGGCCATGACGTTACCCGAAGAATACACGGATGAAATTTCGACGCAGTTACTTTCAAGACTGGATCTAATAGCTATATTGGTTCCCGTGATCGTAGCCATTTGCGGCGTGGTATTGCTGATAGGTATCATTTTAGCAGCTTGCGTACGTCTAAGGAAGTCTGCTGAAAGTGATATTTTAACAAACTCTTCCGATTAAAAAATAACTCTAATACTTGTGTTTTATTCTTTAGTTTATTTTAAAAGGTGCAACCTAAATATTCTTTTGTTATTTATTACTCAACGTATCGTAATTCCTTACGTACTTCGGAACTCACGTAAAGCTGTTGATCCCGGCTGCATCTGCAGTCTTTAGCACTCACCAATCCGTATTGAGGCTGCGTAGTGAGTTAACTCTTACGAGCGCTTTACGGCATAATATCCAAAAAACCCCGCGAATACTCTCTAAGCTGCTTAGTGCGAAGCCACGGGATCCCCGTTTAGGAATTCTTCCGCGTTTCCGCGGACCTAGCAGCCTCCCGGACTAGCCGGGGCTCCACGGCAGGGATCTCCCGGGGTATCGTGGGTACCCCGCAGACGGAAGGTTAAAAAATGATAATCTTTATATATTTATTTAGTATTCGACCCACCAATTTTCCAAACCCAAAAAATAAAATGTTAGTGATAATGTATCTCCAGGTTCACTTACTTGTTCTTAGGAATCAATAAATGAACTATATTTATTTTGTTAAATTTTAAGCATCAAATCTAAGTATTAGTTACAAAAATAATTAGACCTTAAAGCGACCTTAAGAAAATATGTAATCAACAAAACTAACTATCGAAGAAGAAGAATGCAAGTAAACTGGATTTTACAAGAGCTTGAGATGAAAATCAGCTTAAATTTTGCCGTGACCGAAATCCAAAGGACTAAATCTAAATAGCTTTACTAAAACTCGGATTTCTAAAAATGATCATTACTTTTAAACAAAAGAGAGGTCATGTGCGACTATTCTTCGCATCTCTGAGAATCTCGATGCTTTGGCTAGGTTGCTGCATAGCGTGACCCGCAGCATTGGCAATATAGAGGTGGCTAACAACCTCAAGACCTTTGTCAATTAATGTCATGGTGAGTGTTTTGAGGATATAATACCATCCCACCCCTCTTATTCTCCTTTTATCCTTCATAGCTTGCATTACCTGGTGGTAATCTGGTGATTATAGCCACAATTTCAGTGCGAACAAGGAAATTTGGTGACTCATTTCACCATCGTACCTATTTTGACTGGAGTACGAAGAGAGGGAGACACTAGATTTTGGTGTTCATTCACTGGTGATTTTGAGTCATTATGGATTAAATTTGTTATTTCATAAATTACGTCCATTAATGGCATATTGCCCATGCCATGCTACAATAAACTTGAATATATTTTTAATATAAAGAGTAGCATTTATATGGCCCAACCACTATGAAGTAGATGCTTATAATTTTTAAAGTTCCAAAATGCCATAAGGGTTCCATCATTTGTGGGTAATGAATAATTCCCCTGTATAAATATGTCTTATACGCTGTGAACCGATTTTATTGAACTTTGGTATGGAAACAAAGAACAGAAGTTTGTTATATTTTTTTTTTGCATTTAACTGCAGGATGTTCAAGTTTATCTTCTATGAATTTGTTAATACAATGAAATTTGGTAAATCAGTTAATCGTATTTTCTAGGGGCAGTCCACGCGGAAGGGGCTGCACACGTAAAGCTAGGTAGGTACTATAATACTAAAGAAAATTATCATGAATCCTGCAAACATTTTACTTAAAGAATAATTGTTTTCCATACTAATATTATAAATGCTAGTGTGTCTGTCAGTTACTTCTTAATCTCTAAACCGCTGAAACTATTAAGATGAAATTTGGTATAGAGATAGTTCGAGTCCCGGAAGAGGGCATAGGATAGTTTTTTGAGAGGGGAAAAGAAGTTTGTATGGAAAACTAAATTTTCCACGCGGACGAAGTCGCAGGCTCCCGCTAGTTAATTATATAGTCAAGTAAGTGTTCCGAATACGGTATACCGCAGTAGGGTAACGACTACTTTGGTCAGACATTGAAAAAGCAAAAAAAGAGGACAGTGTACCAAATATCTTACTATTAATAAGAGATTAAACATTTAATTTCATTCTTCCTCTGCAAAAAAAAATCACTGACTTTTATTGTGTAAATAATGAATAGAATGAAGTGCCTCAAACATTTATTTTATTTACCTTATTATTCCTAGGACATGGTAGACGGATAATAATGTACTTACTTTTTAATTTGTCATTTTATTAGGTGGTACAAAAGTCACTCAGAAGCCGAAGTGTGAGTTGCGCTTGCGCCTCGATTTAACTTTACTATCGCATTTGCATTTATGTCAAAATTAGTATGGAAAAATGTATAATGCCGTCTGGTGGTACGTCAATGAAGTTATTTTCTTCATACTAATTTCGACGTAAACACCAACGCGATAGTAAAGTTAAATCGAGGCACTACTCGCACTCCGGCTTCAGATAAGACTCAAATCGATCTAAAAATTAAACTTTTTGGAATAAAGCTGCCAAAAGTACGTTCCCTCATTATCTAATCAACACCTGTTCTTCTCTAACACTAACAAGTGACATATAAATGAAATTCGTGCTATAACATTGAGCTTTAATCGTAATTTATTTAAAATATAAACAAATTAAATTATAAGACACAAGTTAACGAATCTACCTGTGTACATTTAGAAAATAATAAGTCTTCTTTAAAATATTAACCAACCCAAAAAGAGTGTTGTTATAAGTAAGTACCTATATGACGTGTGTCTGTCTGTGACATCGCAGGTCCTGAACGAATTTATTCCTAAAAATATTATTAAAATGGTTCTTTTATTATTATTATTATCAGTCTTTTAATGTCCCTACTGCTGAGGTACAGGCCCTTCCTATGGATGGAATAGGGAGATAGGGCAATGACCCACCACGCGGGCCCAGTGCGGATAAGAGAGTGCTAACGACTCCAGATACAGCCGGGACCAACGGCTTAATGCCTTCCGAAGCACGGAGGAGCTTGAGTTAGTAAATTTTTAGTCACCCATCCAATGACCAACCATGTCGAAAGTTACTTAACTTTAACGATCGCAGCCGAACGCGCTAACCACATGCGCCATCGAGATCCTCTTAATGGTTGGTCAAATGGTTCTTAGCTATCACTTATGAAGGTCTGTTCAGATGTTTGGATATCATCAATTCATCAGCTCCTTTCCTATTTGAGAAAAGGATCTTAAAAACTTCCACGTAGTTTGGTACTTACCTGTTGATTTAAACTGTGGTGCACTTTTACTTTGGTTCTATTGCCAAGACAAACAGGTAACCTTTAGCTAAGTACTGTGTAATTAAGGTTTATTACTGAGTGAAATATATCGACCGATATTCTTAAGGTGCTGTCCGAAGAACTGTTTTGTCGCGGGCGAGGCCGCGCCGCGCATGGCTGTCAAACATATGAGAAGTCTAACGTTCGAGGTTTAGCAGTTTTTCATCAAAATTTTGAAAATACCTGAAGTCGAGAGAGGGCACCAAACAAATAGTTTTCCGACGAAGTCGAGTAGAATAGTCGAAGCGATTAAGAATAGATAATATAAATAATAACTAACATTACAGTGTTTGGGTTCAACTAAGTATTACTAAAGTTAAATTAGTAATTATAATAAAGTTAATTACTACGTTTCATAAGTTCCCACTTGTGACTAGAATATTATCATAAGAGAATTTCTAAAGTCATTGCATTGTACGTAGAAAATAACAGAGACAGGCTCTCAGACAGAATACTTAGGTACCTATAAATAGTACTTAATATATGCACTCTAAAAGCCAAGTAGGTACATATAATAATTCTAAGTTTATCATTTCAGAACACAGGAACTATTCTCAGAGGTTCGAAAAGAGCTCAATTCAACGTCTTCATGCGGCCGGTGACTAGAGTACATGCCACACAGAAATTGAGGACCACGCTGACGCCCATATTCTGGATAGAGGAGGTCAGTCAGTATAGACTATATTAATATAATTATAATACTTATATCCATGTTGTTTTTATTATGTTGGCCTTATCTTTGGTAACCGATAGCAGACTATAAGAGCCTGCGCTGCGGTAAGCGGGAGCACCGAGCGGATGTCCGCACATTGTTTCATGCCATTTCATAGAGAAGTGCTGCAACGGGAGACCCGCCTCACGTAATGCAGCGCTCCTTTATGAAATAACATGAAACAAAATACCCTCAATTTAGGTACGTTATGTTTTTTATCGCGTCTAACTGTCAAACTCAGAACTTGATAAAAACCAGTAATATATCATATCACGGCGCTCATGCTAGAGGGGCGGGCAGGTCTCATAACTAGATACCTAGTTATAACATAGTAGATAGGCATTGGCAAGATATTTACAGAAGTATTTTTGACTTACAGGCCATGACGTTACCCGAAGAATACACGGATGAAATTTCGACGCAGTTACTTTCAAGACTGGATCTAATAGCTATATTGGTTCCCGTGATCGTAGCCATTTGCGGCGTGGTATTGCTGATAGGTATCATTTTAGCAGCTTGCGTACGTCTAAGGAAGTCTGCTGAAAGTGATATTTTAACAAACTCTTCCGATTAAAAAATAACTCTAATACTTGTGTTTTATTCTTTAGTTTATTTTAAAAGGTGCAACCTAAATATTCTTTTGTTATTTATTACTCAACGTATCGTAATTCCTTACGTACTTCGGAACTCACGTAAAGCTGTTGATCCCGGCTGCATCTGCAGTCTTTAGCACTCACCAATCCGTATTGAGGCTGCGTAGTGAGTTAACTCTTACGAGCGCTTTACGGCATAATATCCAAAAAACCCCGCGAATACTCTCTAAGCTGCTTAGTGCGAAGCCACGGGATCCCCGTTTAGGAATTCTTCCGCGTTTCCGCGGACCTAGCAGCCTCCCGGACTAGCCGGGGCTCCACGGCAGGGATCTCCCGGGGTATCGTGGGTACCCCGCAGACGGAAGGTTAAAAAATGATAATCTTTATATATTTATTTAGTATTCGACCCACCAATTTTCCAAACCCAAAAAATAAAATGTTAGTGATAATGTATCTCCAGGTTCACTTACTTGTTCTTAGGAATCAATAAATGAACTATATTTATTTTGTTAAATTTTAAGCATCAAATCTAAGTATTAGTTACAAAAATAATTAGACCTTAAAGCGACCTTAAGAAAATATGTAATCAACAAAACTAACTATCGAAGAAGAAGAATGCAAGTAAACTGGATTTTACAAGAGCTTGAGATGAAAATCAGCTTAAATTTTGCCGTGACCGAAATCCAAAGGACTAAATCTAAATAGCTTTACTAAAACTCGGATTTCTAAAAATGATCATTACTTTTAAACAAAAGAGAGGTCATGTGCGACTATTCTTCGCATCTCTGAGAATCTCGATGCTTTGGCTAGGTTGCTGCATAGCGTGACCCGCAGCATTGGCAATATAGAGGTGGCTAACAACCTCAAGACCTTTGTCAATTAATGTCATGGTGAGTGTTTTGAGGATATAATACCATCCCACCCCTCTTATTCTCCTTTTATCCTTCATAGCTTGCATTACCTGGTGGTAATCTGGTGATTATAGCCACAATTTCAGTGCGAACAAGGAAATTTGGTGACTCATTTCACCATCGTACCTATTTTGACTGGAGTACGAAGAGAGGGAGACACTAGATTTTGGTGTTCATTCACTGGTGATTTTGAGTCATTATGGATTAAATTTGTTATTTCATAAATTACGTCCATTAATGGCATATTGCCCATGCCATGCTACAATAAACTTGAATATATTTTTAATATAAAGAGTAGCATTTATATGGCCCAACCACTATGAAGTAGATGCTTATAATTTTTAAAGTTCCAAAATGCCATAAGGGTTCCATCATTTGTGGGTAATGAATAATTCCCCTGTATAAATATGTCTTATACGCTGTGAACCGATTTTATTGAACTTTGGTATGGAAACAAAGAACAGAAGTTTGTTATATTTTTTTTTTGCATTTAACTGCAGGATGTTCAAGTTTATCTTCTATGAATTTGTTAATACAATGAAATTTGGTAAATCAGTTAATCGTATTTTCTAGGGGCAGTCCACGCGGAAGGGGCTGCACACGTAAAGCTAGGTAGGTACTATAATACTAAAGAAAATTATCATGAATCCTGCAAACATTTTACTTAAAGAATAATTGTTTTCCATACTAATATTATAAATGCTAGTGTGTCTGTCAGTTACTTCTTAATCTCTAAACCGCTGAAACTATTAAGATGAAATTTGGTATAGAGATAGTTCGAGTCCCGGAAGAGGGCATAGGATAGTTTTTTGAGAGGGGAAAAGAAGTTTGTATGGAAAACTAAATTTTCCACGCGGACGAAGTCGCAGGCTCCCGCTAGTTAATTATATAGTCAAGTAAGTGTTCCGAATACGGTATACCGCAGTAGGGTAACGACTACTTTGGTCAGACATTGAAAAAGCAAAAAAAGAGGACAGTGTACCAAATATCTTACTATTAATAAGAGATTAAACATTTAATTTCATTCTTCCTCTGCAAAAAAAAATCACTGACTTTTATTGTGTAAATAATGAATAGAATGAAGTGCCTCAAACATTTATTTTATTTACCTTATTATTCCTAGGACATGGTAGACGGATAATAATGTACTTACTTTTTAATTTGTCATTTTATTAGGTGGTACAAAAGTCACTCAGAAGCCGAAGTGTGAGTTGCGCTTGCGCCTCGATTTAACTTTACTATCGCATTTGCATTTATGTCAAAATTAGTATGGAAAAATGTATAATGCCGTCTGGTGGTACGTCAATGAAGTTATTTTCTTCATACTAATTTCGACGTAAACACCAACGCGATAGTAAAGTTAAATCGAGGCACTACTCGCACTCCGGCTTCAGATAAGACTCAAATCGATCTAAAAATTAAACTTTTTGGAATAAAGCTGCCAAAAGTACGTTCCCTCATTATCTAATCAACACCTGTTCTTCTCTAACACTAACAAGTGACATATAAATGAAATTCGTGCTATAACATTGAGCTTTAATCGTAATTTATTTAAAATATAAACAAATTAAATTATAAGACACAAGTTAACGAATCTACCTGTGTACATTTAGAAAATAATAAGTCTTCTTTAAAATATTTGATAAATCACATAGTACCGAGGCTGATAATGAGGTTTTTAGTCTTTTCTTTTTCTGGACTAGAAATAAACAATAGCTAATGCATTGAGATTTCATAATTATAATGTTAATTAATATTTCCTACGTACGCAAAATCTAATGTAAGTATAAAAATAGTTAACAAATGAACCAACTCAAAAATACACAAATATTCACTCCTACCACTTTATCAGCCTCTTACAGACAGTATCAAACATAGACCTTACAGAAGTCAATCAGCCCATTTCAAATAAAATATCGAAACAATATCACCCCAACAAGCAAACATATAAATCTCATTTTTGAAAACTATTATATTCAATGGAAGCTTTCGAAATCATAAATTCTTTTATATGGCCCTACCAAATGAATCCAAACGACCTGACACTATCAATACAGTTTTTTATTAAGTATGTAGTAAATTCATCTTCTGTGAAAATCACCTTAATGGTGTTACGGGGTATGTTCATTAAAGTTACTATAAATTTTCCAAATAAAATACATTTATATTATTTATAATTATCTTATTATGCCATTATTTCATACTTTGACGATATAATAATAGTCCTCGATAAAATTGTATACACTAACGAAATATTTTGAACATCGAATGACGGGGCCAAACTGACATTAAATTCGCAAGCTTGAAGGAACTGTAAAATAAAAATAACACCTCACTTTATGTACACATTGAAAATGCCACTTTAAATGTAGCAGTAAGAGAGCGCCTATAACAATGACAATAATTACGAATATATTTCGGTAACACTAAGATGCACTTACAGTAAACGGCTATAACACATAGAATTTGGACTATCTTGTATAAGCAATGGTAAATTAGAATGGAAAAGAAATTGTTCAGTCCATTGTAACAGCGTCCATAGTAATAGTGTTGAAATAGTACATCAATACGAATAACATTGGTGGTACAACGACAACTGGATTATATGACAAAAAAAAATCAGTTTTCCTGACATCCATTACTATGTAAATATTAAAAACTGTTATCAGCTATATACCTTGTAACATGTACATTCAATGTACCCCGTCCAAATGTCATATTTAATATATTTATTAAAGTAGACAATTAACCATAAAATAGTTCAATAAAAGAGGACTCGAAACATCGACAGAATTTTTCATAATAATCCGGTAAAAATATTTTTTATTCTAAAGATTCAGGTAATATACTGCAAGGGCTGTTATAATATTCATTAAATAAATCCAGTCCTCACAGTACCATTCATAATTTAACTAAGATATAAAGACATATGTACAAAGGTAATAATGCTAAAACGTTTCCTGTAGTAATTCAAGAAACATTACAAAGAGCTATGTACAATATATTTACAACAATATCATTAACCTAAACAGCTATCTATAACTCACTCGACCAAATGACGCTTATCGTCACTGTTGCGCTTGCGGCCCTTCGCGTGCGCTAACATCGTTACTAATTTTTTATGGCTGTCGCCTACGATCCACCCGTGCTGCTGCTGGTGCTCCTGTTCGTCGTCGCCCTCCGAGGACCAGTAGTAGGCGACGGAGCGTGGGCGGCCCTTCTGGCCGGCTGCGCCCGGCGCTTGCGAAGTGGACGGCGCGGGCATCGCCGCCGCCGCCGCGGCTGCCGCCTCCGCTGCCGATGCCGATGCAACCGCCACCGAACTACTCGGTGATGCCACGATACTACCTTTACCTATACCGCTCAGCCCCGGTCTAGCCCCATCGTCGGCTGTATTGCTATGCCCGCTCCCCGTGCCATCACTTGATCTACTGCGATTACTACTATTAACCCTGCTTTCTATATCGTACCTTTTGAATGCCAGTTGGCGACTATTACCGCGCCTTCCACCAGCCTGCTGTCCGTCCTTTTTCCTACCCTTCTTCCTGCGTCCAGAAACTGCTACCACAGATTCGGCACTATTGGGCCTGGGCGGCCCACCGTCCGGTTCGGACTCAGAACTCCACGATTCTGCTAAGACATTCTGCTTTCCGACGGTGCACTTTCGCCGTGCTCTTTGCCTTGCTACACCAGTTTCATCGTAAACGTCCTCGGCGTGTTCGTGGCTCGTGCTAACAAATTGATCAGATTTTTTACTTGATAGTTTGGAATCATCATATGACTTAACTAATTCGTCATGCTTAGATGTTGACGCCTCATTTTGTTTTGACAGTTTTACCTCACAGTGTTTATCAAGCGATTGCTCGTTTTTCTTAACAGAAACTGATTCATATATCGTTGGTGACAAATCACTCTTATAGTCTTTCTCTGTATCCAGCTGGCTATCATATTTCTTAGAAGAATTTGAATCATAGTCTAAAGTGGAAATAATACCACTGTCTATTGCAGATTTATACTCAATTTCTGTAGTGTATTTCTTTGATAAAGACTCAACTTTTTGAGGATCTTTAATACATTCTTTGGAAGACGTTGAGGATGTACGTCTCTTTGATGTTGATGCTGCAATGTATTCAGGTTTATCTGGCAAATTAGGGTCGAATATCTTTGAAGATGAAACATTATCATCATCTGAGCTATCAAAATCATTAGCTGAATTGGAATCATATTCTAAAGTGGTAGTGGTATGTTTCTTCAAAGACAGATTTTCATCTTTTTTGGGTGAATTTAACTCATTGTTCAACATTGATGTGCTAGGTTCTTCTTCAAGTAAACTATCAAACAATTGGTCAAGATTTGCTTTAGGCTTAATTGATTCTTTGGGTGCTGTAATTTTCTTTTCTGACCTTACTGCATTATGTTTGAATATTTTGCCCATTACAGCATTTTTTTCAACAACATCCTTTCTCTTTTGCGGTGACACATTCTTCTTGATATCAATGCTCAGTTTTACATTTGCATTGTCACAGGACAGCAAACTATTTTCAGTTTCATCGTCACTACATACATAATCGTCAGACATGTACACGAAATCATCACCGTCCGATCCACTCTCACTGGAATTTTCTTCTAATGCTGCTGATGTTAATTTAGAAGTACTTGGCATTTCTTTGTTGCTCATACTTTTAAATCTCTCCATGAGTGTTGATGGTCTGAATTCAAATAACTCAGCATCTTCGTTATCCATGAATTCATACACATCCAACTTTTTACTGTGACCCACAGTGCTATCTTTACCACGGTGATCACTATCATATTTGCCACTTGACTCAGAATCTTTTTTATCTCTCTTTTTCTTTGAGCTGTTTTTCTTTTTCTTTTTGGGAGAACTCTCCGCGACAGGTACCAAAGATGGCAAATTAATATCTGATGTCGGAATTGAAACTTTAATACCGTCAAAACCTTTCAAAGCACCTTTAGTAGGTACTTGTGTACTTTGATGTTTAGTCTTTTTCGAGCTTCGTTTTCCTTTCCTCTTTTCCGATTTTCGGCGTATCTTTTGGCTGGAAAAATTATTAATATTGAAGGCTTTATTAAATTTGTATTAAAAAAAACAAAACAAAATAAAAAACACGAGAAAAAGTTGGTATACAGCCCCTTGTTACACGGAATTGCATTGCACGTTTTCACAATAGTAAATAAACGAATTCAAACGTATTCTAGACTCAATGCCAATGGGAAAGAGAACATTATTAAAAAAAACTTATTAACATGTTTAATCCACAAACATAATACTGTCGGTGGAAAGGCAAAAACAAATAAAGCGCAATTTAGTCAATTGTTGAGCAGAGCTGTTGAAATTTAAAGAAAAATGATTATAACTTTTTTCTTTATTATTTATTTAATTATTTACTAATTCAGTATTTCACACACAATAAAACAGATAAGAACAGGAACAAGAAATTTGTACAAGGGCACTGCTTATGTCATATTGAAATTTCTTCCAGCAGGCTATTAATGGATTTTTATTGAAAATTTTGTGAGCAGATCAATTTTTTGTGCTCTATATTTTGTATTTAATTTAAATTAATTTAGGTCAATAATTTAAGGAAAAAGTGGTTTCATTAAAATTACATTTTAAGTAAGCAGGGAAAATCACTTCATAGGCCACCGAGATAAAAATATTAAAAGGATAAATTTATTTCAAACACCAAATCAAATAAAAAACATAGCATTAAAATTACTACTTCATATCACTTCGATTAAAAAAAACAATCTAGAAGAAACTTTTATTAACATTGCTTGTTATTTTTTTAGATTAGTTTAATAAATTATTGACCATATGCGGTTATGAACTTTAAATACTATACATTTTTAGGATAGGGACTATTAAGTCCCTATCCTAAAACGAGATCTATTAAGATCTCGTTTTTTTTTTTTTGATCATCAACAATTATAACTTTTGTACTTTATATCTCCACGATGATACTTGATGATAATTCGACAAGATTTTCCTGCGATGATCTCCATAGTGAATAATCCTACGTAAATAATTAGCCTTAGTGCATTCGCATCCTTTATTTACCTCAGTCATCATTATTGCCAGTCTATTTTTAAGATATTTGATGGCTCAATTTTATGTAAATATTAAAAGATTTAAAATAAAGACTTTTTGTTTATATTTCACAGAAAAAAGTGTTATACTCGGCGATAATCCAAAATGTTTAAGACACAATCTTATGAAAACCTAGGTAAGTACTTAATTTTATTGACTATGACAATGGAATAGGACCTGGATTTCAATTGAATACACCTATAAAAATCAAACTTTGTTAAAAATCATAAAAAAGTAAAACAAACTATTTGCTACTGGCAAAATTAATTGATGCTGTAGAAGTTAAACGATGCAACCTTTTTTATTTAAAAGTAACATGGGAATAAAAACTGAAATGCCACGACTTGTACTTTACTTTCGAGGAACAAAACATATTCCGACATATCTAAACATAACTTATTAGGGAAAAAGTATTTCGACGCCAAATTAAAAATTAATAAGGACTTTTTTTAAATCAATTAATTATGAAATTGCATGATGTGCCATCTTCGTAGATAAATAAGTTTGATCAATAACTTAAGAGGTACTTACAATATTTTCAAATAATTTATACGACATTGTTCAAAAAATATATCATAAAACAGTAGTTAAAAGGGAGTGTAAATTTATAATTACCCCATTTTATACTTTAAATGAAACGCAACAAGATACAATATGTGCTTCCAATTGGCTTCTAACCTAGACACATCGATAGAGTAGCCCTAAACCCTATAGAATTGCATATTAAACTAATTTTTGACCAATGTGGCTATTTATTTGTTTTTCCGTTCCACCATTGAATTAAGTGTATGCTTAACATTGTCGGATTAATTTATTATTTCACAAAGGACTGGGAACTGGGTTTATATTTACGAATTATGCTTTATACGCGTTAATAATAAAAAATAATTACCTGGCACTTTTTTCAACAATTGGTGGTGTTTGTTTTGCAGCAGCAGCTTGAGATCTGCATTTCCTTTTGATTTTATCAAATTTATCTTCAAACATATCTATGTCTTCAATGACATCTGGATACATTTTTTCTTTAATCTGAATAAATTCTGTGCTAGTGCAATGTTTTTTAGTTTTATTACTTTTCTGTTTTTCGGGCATATCGAAACCTACCATTTGATAGTTCGACTCAGTTTCACTTGAACTTGCAAAATTATGAACGTGACTAACTGATTCTGTTATTAATTTACCAGGAGTTTGATAGTCAATATTACAAGATTTTCGTGTGGCATTAGCAGCCTCTTTAAGTCCAGATATTAAATCATTTTCAAGGTTACGAACTTCTTCACTGTCTAAAATATTTTGAGCTGTAATCGAATCGACATCATCATCACTTTCACACTCGTTGGAAAAGCTTGTGTTTATAGCGTTTTCTAAAATATCTAATCCTGACATAGAAGGATTAGTAGTACCGCTCATGTTAGGTTTGTCGACATTATGCGATTCTTTGAGAAGTTCACAGCAGTCTATGAATAATTCTTCGTCGCGACTTAGTCCACGTTGAGATAGTTGTTGCTCTCTTACCGCACGATTTACATCAGAAAGAATTTCTTGCATAGTTGGTAATACAATTTTCGCAGCTGCCTTAGGATTTTTCTTTTTTAATTTGGACAACTTGTCAGTTAATTTTTGAAATCTTTCTAAATATTGTTTATAAGCCATTAAATAGTTAGGTTCTTCGTGAACAGGAGCAGTTTTTACTTTCATTTCTACTTCGGACAATTTTGATATATGTAATAAAGTCATTTGATGTCTAAGATAGTTATCAGGTCTGCGGAATTCTTTTTTGCAGACGCTGCAATAAGAAGGTAATATTTTAGTGCAACTCTTTTTCTTGCGTCCACGTTTAGCAGCTTTCTTGGATAAATTTGTGTTGGACACTTCACTGTCATTGGACTTTTTATTATCTTTATCACTTTGCAGATTCTTTTTCGCTGATCGTTCTTTGAATCCAAAGTACAAGTCATCGCTTTCGTTGTTAATGTGGAAAGTCTCTGATATTTTCTTAGTCGCTAATAAATTCGATTTTCTGGGTTTCCTTTCAGAAAAGAAACCAAAACTCTCCATAAATTGTTCAGAACGTAATGTCTCTTCTGCTTCATTTTCAGTAATTGCATCACCGGAACCAAGCTCAATACTTTTATTCACTTTTGAGCCTTCATTAATTTGATAATCACTCGGTTTTTCACATTCGCTTTTCTTTTGAAATGAGCTTGCTTCAGATTCATTGTTTTTCTTTTCCCTTTCTGCTATGTATTTCTGCAATGGTACATCACTTTTAGACGACTCGTCAGAATCACTCATTGGTGACTTATTTTGATCTTCACAATGAACCACTTCTTTAGAACTCTCTTTTTCTGGTGGTGATTTACTGATTTCTTTTGCTACAACAGAACATGGCTTACATTTCTTTTGACTAGTATTGGGTTTCGGCTCTGAGCTCTTCTTTTTCCTTCTAAAATATTCGTGTTGTTCAATCATATCCTCCAAATCAATGTCATAAGGGTCATATAAATCAGTACTTGATGACTTCACAACAACAGATTTTGAACGACCCCTCCGAGCTGGAACGGGTATGTTATAACAAGCCGTACGAGATCCTGGTATAGGTCCATCAACAAAATCGTCTGTTTTAATATCTTTATTACCAGGCTGTTCAACAACTTTTACCACAGGAGCTTCATGGAGTTTATCTGATTTTGTGGTTTTACTTTTTTTCGGTCTCGAGCTCCGAATGATATCAAATGACAGTTCATTACTTATTTTACGTTTTTCTGTGGAAAGTGGTGATTTTTCACTATTTTTGCTACAGCCACTAACATCTTCGCTAGAATTCACGACGAGCTCATCAGAAATATTTTTCTCTGTGCTCTCTTTTTCTTTCACAGTGTTTTCACTTTCTTTTATGTCCTTTGATGACAATAGTGTGCTTTCAGTACAACTTGAATTTAAATCTGATACTGAATCTACAAGATTAGAATTATTACAAGTCTCCGTTTCAATTGAGTCATTAATGTCACTTTGACAATCATCAATTGATTTCTTTTTCTTTGATTTCTTGGAACAATTGGGAGAAAATCTACGTTTAGTAGCTTTGTTTCTTTCAAGCGTATCTTTGATGTTGTGGATTTCTGTATTGGAAATATCCTTGTTATTCGAATCAGGAACGACTTCGTTTGTTAGAAAATCTTTATCTTTACACATGTCTACTTCATTCAAACCCGAAAGATGAGTTTCCGGTTTTCCTTCATCGAGGAGCAATTTGGAAAATATTAGTTGCTTTTTAGTAAGAGGCGTCTTTTGTTCGTTAGACAATTCTGAGCTACTTAATGTGTCTTTCTCGAGAACTGTACTTTCCATAAACAAAGATTTACCACGTCTACTTCGGCGAAGTGGTTTAACAAAATTAACTTTTGAATCTGTGTTCTCTACAAAATGTTCATCTTGGTTGATATGGATTTCAACCGATTTATTTTTTTTCACATTTAAATCTTTATCTTTTCGTAACTCAGTGGATGCTTCGGTGAAATTATCATGTACGTTCTGTGCAACATCTAGCGGTGCATCACTTACATCGTCCATCATATTCGAAGTAAGTGCAGTTGATGTTGTTACATTATCATTTGTTTTAGAGCTTCGTTTGGCATCCAATTTTTCTACACCTTGTACACAATCTCCAGTTTCAATACTTGTGGTAGCATCAACTTGCACTGGGGTTTGTAATTTATTTCTTTCGTTTGTTAGTACATCTAGTGATACTGACGTTATACTTTCTATTTTATTTAACTTTATAGTAAGATTAGATTTTATAATCTTCTTCTTACTCTTACCTTTCTTCTTTAGAGTATCAGAAGTTATTTTTCCATCTTTCATAACTTCTTTGTTACTTTCACACGGTTCATCCGTAATGTTTGTCAAATATATTTCCTGGGAAGGTATATTTTCAAATGGCTTACTAGTTTTTTGATCATGCGGGGCACTTTCATTATTTCTGTTGTTTACACGTTTTGTTTCATCACATTTTATATCACATTCTGGCAGACTTTTAGAATGTATATCACCTGTTTCACTCTTTTGTGAATTAGAACCCAACTCTTCTTGCTCTTTAGAAACTACTATTGCTGTTTCTATTTTTGTTTCTTGATTTGTAACACAATTTTCACGGCATAATAATTGGGATTCAGTATTAATTTCAATGTTTAAGGAACTTGTTCTATTTGACTGCACTTCTATAGTTTTATTAGAAGTACTTACATCTGCAGTCCTTATTGATACTCTCCGCCTACATCTTTTAGTTTTCTTAAATCGTTTCTTTTTACTGCCACATCCAGTGTCTTGTTTTTCGATTAACTCTTCAGTTTTCTTTTGGTCTAGCTGTTTTTGTTTTACTATAGTTGCTAGAGAAATATCGTCTTCAGAATCATCGGGCTCTAATATTTTTAAATCTCGTTTTAAATTAGTTTTTTCAGTTTCGGTTAAAATATTGCCGTCTGTCGATTTATCTGCAATTAACTTAAATGCTTTATTTGTTGAACTTAATTGTGGTTCACATTCAATAGGAGAAACGAGCAAAGAATCATTCTTCTTATCAGTGTTGAGTAGAGTTCCAGTATGAAATTCGTTACTTTCTTTAGTAGAAACAGATGATGACACATTACTAGTTTTGGGTACTGGAATGTTATACACTTGTTCTTCCATTTTATCGGTCACAGCACTCACTGCTATTACTGGCATTTTCTGAATAATATTTTTACTAGCTTCGTCGCTGCTGGATTCAGTGCTAGCAGGTGAGATTGCAAGAGGATATTTACCCGAACTCGTGGTATTGTGTTGGGTACTGCTCACTTCTGCTTGTTGGATAGCCATTGTTTTATCAATGTCCGAGGATTTTTCTATAGCAGGTTGTAAATCCTGACTATTTTGAACATTAATTTTAATTTGATTTGCCTTTTGCAATTGGTTTTCCATGCTCATTGATTTATTCCTTTCCGACGGAGTTTTGATTCGAACTGCCCTTAAACTAGCAGTTTGATCGTTAACTTTCGGTTTGCTGCTACTTTTTATCACTGGCGGTTCAGAAGAAATGCTGATGTTACTATTGCACTCTTCTGTATTTTTTTTTACCTTAGTGTCAAAAGGAGGTTCATCTTCTGTTAAGTCTATAATACGATTTCGATCTTTTTCAGGCGCTTTGGAAACGATAGCATTATATATCTCAAATTCAACTGCAGGTATTTCATGCTTCTCATATTTATGAGCAAACGGTTTTGTATCATCGTTACGTGTCTGTTCAACGTCTGTAAAATGAGATGAAACGCTACTTTGACATGTAAGAGTAGACGTCTCTACAGCTGTGCATAAAGATACTGGCGCCACAGAGCTGTCTTTAGGCTGTACTACGGGAGAAGGAGATTTTGAGACGTAATGTGGAAGCACATTCAGCAATTGATTTCTATGATCTTCTGGCATTGTACCTAATATTTCAACTAGTTCTTTTGGCAATAATGCTATTTTTTTGGCGGTTTCAGGGTCAGTTTCAATACCTTGTGAAGATAATATATTCGCTTTAGCTTGTGAGTCAACTGTACTTGTTAAAGAAACAGGTGTTGAAATAATATGTGAAATAGTATTTTGAGCTTCTGTGTTTCCTTCCTCGCAGTTTACGGCTTTTTTTGAGGGCTCAGTTGATTTTGTTAAAGGTGTCTTTTGGTGTTGATTACTATCTTTAAGAGTAGAATAGTTGTCTTGTCTGTCGGAAGCATCAAGTAATGTGCAATTTTGTGCATTATTATCAGTAGCTTTTTCGGGAAATCTAAAAGACAGATCCATGTTTGATACCCTACTAGTAGGTTCTACTTTGCTCATAGATATACAAGCATTAGCTAAGGTATACACTGGCATAGTACTCTCATATTTACTACTTGATATCGGAGTTGTGTTTGACATCGTATATAAAGGAATAGGGGTATCTGAAAGACATATAGAAGGACTCTCAGAATTTTCATGTGGCTGAGTAAAGTTCTTCACATTAGTTTTAGCTGATGTATTGTCACTACTGCCGGTTTGAATGACATCGACATCAAACATCTCAGAAGCTGTTGTTATTGTAGGATCTTTAACATAAAGTGAATCGGTTATGGGAATATCGAACCGCTTATTTGTCACAAAAAGAGCATCGGTACCGGTATATGCTTGTAAATCGATAGTTTTATAATGTTCTTGCCCTTTAAGGTTATATGAGTGCATTTCATTCAAATCATAGCTATCTTGGCTTTTTTCAACATCTATTTCCAATTCAGAGTTTTCAGCTGCAATTAGTGCTTCATCTTGTCTGATTGATTTTTCCTGGTGATTTACTTGCTTATCTAATTCTTTCCTTCCTGATAAATCTGCTGGGCCAGTATTGTTTGTTTTTTCATTGATAGAAAGTGGATCCTTTGTATTACAAGATATCTTAGAAATCATTGTTAAATTTGATGAAACTTCTACAGGCTTTTTCCCAGATAAGTCAGTAGGTATATCTTGATCTAAATTATCTTCTATAATAGTCAAGATCTTATCCGATTTATCGCAATTATTAATACTATGTTTAGATAGGTCCTGCACACAGTTGTAATCATATTCATAAACATCAGTTTTCTTTTTCACAGTCAAGTCAGTAGGTACATTGTCCATTTCCAAAGTCTTGATAGTCAAATCAGTTGCACTTTCCATTGCACTGTTTTTACCAGACAACTCTAATTCTTCTTGAGACTTTTCACAGCTTTTTACTCTTAAATCAACTATACCATCATTAACATCATCTACGACGAGATCCTCTCCAACGATTTCAGTACTTTTATTTGACAGGTCTAAAGTTTCATAGCTGTCATAATCATTTAAATCATATGAACTATTTTGTTTAGATGTTTGTGAATTATCAGTAATATTTACAGTAAGATCTAAAGGTACAGGCAGAACAGCATCTAAATTACTTGAATCCGAATTTGTTCGAATAAGAGACATTTCTACAGAATTAAAGTTAGTTTCAGGATATATTTCATGACTCATTATTAATCTTGGTACTTCAGGCTCGTGAAAAGATTCTGTCATATTTTTATTAAAATTTGTTTCTGTATATGCCATAGGCTGTTGCGTTTTTGATGACTGAGATTGTGGATAACATTCAGTTTGTTTCAGCTGAGATTTCGTGTAAACTTCGTCCTGTTTTAGTTGTGCTGGCGCATAAGTTTCGACCTGTTTTAGATGCGATGGCGTATAAGTATCGACCTGTTTCATTTGCGATGGTGTAATAGTTTCGGCCTGTTTCATTTGCGATGGCGTATAAGAGTCAGTAGGTTTTAACTGAGGTTGGATATAGGAGTCAGTTTGTTTAATCTGCGGTTGAAGAAAAGAATCAGTTTGTCTCGCCTTAAGATTAGAAAAAGTGTCAAATTGTTTATGCTGAGCATCTGTATAAGCGTCAATGTTTTTTGCCTGAGATTGAGCGGAAGATTCTATTTGTTTGATAGGAGATTGCACACTAGTCTTGGCATGTTTTAAATGAGATAGTGTGTTCACTTCAGTAAGCCTTTTATCTAATAGTTCTTTAGACACGCTCTGCGATTTTATTTCCAAAGACAATTGAGCAGAGTCGTGGCCTTTCTTCTGACGTAAAGCAGGTGGAACGCCAGATTGATTTGTTTTGCGTTTATATTTGTCATTTGCATTATTTTCTATATTTTGGATATGTACAGAATCAAGTTTACATGGCGGCGATACTTTCGCAGCATAGGTTTCATTAGGATTATGGGGTATTAACTCTATATGTGGCGGCAAAACGAAGCTCTTATTACGCATATTATCTTTATCAGAGCGTGAAGATCGTCTTCGGGCGGATTCTCGTTTAGCTCCCGAATGTGTCTTTTGTTTTGGTGGTTTATTTTTTTCTATTTTGTTACCTCTACGTGGTAGTTCATAGAGGGTTTGGACTGGTAGAAAATGTAAAGGCATATCAGCGAAGCTTTGATGTATCAAATTACTATCATTGCGTAGTTGCAAGAATCTATCTTGTATAAAATTATGTCTAGAAAATATTTCAGCAGGCCTAGTGTTTATTGGCATCTGAAAATCTGCACCTGAATGGGGTTGGTTAACAGTTGCTGATTGAGATATCAGAGAATCGTCACTGCCAGACTCCACTGAATGGGATGTCTGAGTCGTGAGAATTGGTTCCACTAATTTATTTTTTAACATAGCGATACAGTCATTCAAACCTTTTCGCGGTTTATTAAGTTTATTTCGTTGAAACGCAAAAGGATCCAACATCCCTCTTTGCTCGAAATGTAAAGGCGGTTTATCGAGTTTAGTAACCACCGCTTCATTTTCGAACAATCGTTGTTGTCCAACAGGCACATGTTGACTAAAACTATTACACTCTTGTTGTAACAAAAACATTTGATGATGGAGTTGCAATGATTTATCATACATATCTGTATCTGAAGTTAGACGAGCAATAGAATGTTTTAATGGTTCATTTGGTGAAGGCATGAATGAATCATTTATATTTCCATTCTGTTCACCGCGCCCTGGTCTTTGTTGGTCATTATTATTAGATCTATTGCGACTCGAATGCTCTCTAGTATTGTAAGGACTATTATTAACATCAATTTTCTGTGGTGTATTATTCCCCACCGATAACTGCTCTATCACAGTACTTCCTGAAGCAGCGACAGTCTCTGAAGGCGGATGCTCTACATTGCTCGGTTCAGTGACTTCAGTGACTGTTGCTTGTTTAAGATGAGCTCTTCTTTTAGCTCTGCTAAGTGCCACTTTTCGTTTCATTGTCTCATTTTGTCTAGTTTTTTTTGCCATTATCCTCTTTAATCTAGGCTTCAAAGGTTTTTCGTCATCATCCTTGTTAGATTTATCATCGTTATCTTCATGAGATGCCACTAATCGACCACGATTGTCAACATTACGATTATTATCGTTTTGTTTACGAGTCTTAGAAATTTCAGTAGAACGTCTCTTTAAAATTAGCTTGTTTCTTTGTTGATCCAATTTTTTTCTTGGTCGTAATATTGGGTTTGTAGGTGTTACCATAACTCGATGACGTTTAGCTGGTAAATCTGCTATCATCTTCCGAATACTTTCAGCTGGAAGAATAAAACATACAATTAAATATACAATAAAGTGAAAAGCACAATTCAACTGCAGGGCCTTCGTGTGGAAACGGGGGCCACACTTGGTGAGCAGTTGGTAACACTATGGTCTATTTCTTTTTTGTTTAAAAAAAGAACTTAAACAGCTCCTAAATGGCAATTGATAGATAACTGAAAAACTGATATTAGTTACAAAGGCCAACAGTAATATAAACAGCACAAATCCATTAATATCAAACAAGTTTGAGTATTCTTGAGTAAGATATCTTTCTACTTCTCGATATTTAAAAGTTATTTTATCTTTTACAAAACATTTGATCAGTCGTCAGTTTTGATATTTATATTTTACGTTTCAAGCAAACAAATAGCATATACAATAGACTACATTAGAACTTTATTTTGATTTTTAAGAAAGTATTTATAAAAATCCTGAAAATATGTGTCTATTTATATCTGTTATTTAGCTGTGTAATCAGAGTTAACAAAAGTGGTATTTTTAATAATAATTAAAGAAGTTTAACTTCTATGAATTTAACTGTATACTCGTACATGCTTCTTTACATTCATTAAAAAAAAATAACTCAATCAAACAACTGAATCCAACCGCCAACTTAACGTTTTAGTGAATATATAAGTTATTTTTACTCAACTTGATCAAGTGTTTAAGACAGCTGCCCAGATTGCGGGAAGTGCTGTGTTCAATAGGCTAGTTGACTCATGTCGAATTGTATTAAATAAATGTTTATTTCTTAAAGTATTTGGTCTAAGGATCCTAAATATATCGATTTCACTTCATAAAAGCAGAAGATTGCTGTAGAAATTTAATTTTAAAAAATATTTTTTAGTCTATATTTTTTAAACACTAAAAACGCTGTTCGCCACATCCGCCATGATTGTGACGTCTCTTACGGTAAACAACTAAATGTCACTCGCGTGTTACTATGGGTGGAATCTTTCGTCTGACTAAATTTATCTTAAAAAACTTTTAACTTTAGAAAAGTTTCAGTTTACTGATTTTTTTTTTTTTTGAAAAAAATACTAATTATGGATGCCGTCTTTGTGAAAACAGAAAGCACAAATCTGCCAAGAATTGACGCATTGATGGTTGGTGAATTTATTGGACTAAACCCCGATTTCTGCTCTGCGGAGCAGAGAAACGACAAGGAATCTATGTAAGTACAGTGTATTTAGTATTACAATGTAGTAATAAACATAAAACTGATACAACATATGAATAAGTATAATAAAGTTGCGTAGGTTAATTTCTTTCGGCACTTTAATCCACAACTTTCCTGGAGTCTTCAAGGATGTGTTTTTATATTCTCATACAATACAATAATGATAATTACTTTATTTTTCGTGGTATTTATTAGAAAACATGTTTTTTTTATTATAAAGTCAGTTAAGTTATTTTCTACGTGCTTACGATTTTTTGTTTAGTGCAGTTAACGTCATAGCATAGATAATCTATAGACTAAAATGGCCGACAGCGTTTTTGTATGTCCAGGAAAAATCTATTTTAAAATTAAAGATTTGTAGCTTTTTACATGACATTTATACTGTTTGGCCGACATATATTGGCGGGTCGGCAGTTAGCCGTGTCTGCTTAGTAGCCAATTGCTTTCCAAAAAAATAGTAAGGCTAACTTAAGACCTGCCAAGATAATTAAATTGAGGGAACTTTATTTTAATTCAAAATGATGTTGATTCAATTCTTACCATCGCCAACTTCAGTGCGGATTTTGGGTCGTGGCCGCATAAGGGTTTTCTGTCTCGTCTGCCTTGTTTGTCTTCTTATATCTTTTCGGATCTTTTTTCGTATGGTATTGTCAGGCAATCGAGGGCGCCTTCTGCGCACACCGAAAGGGCGATATCGACATTTCCGACGGACTGTTGGAGTATCACCAGCACAATCTAACATATGCTGATGAAGATCCTCTAAACTGATAGATTTTTTACATTTAGTGCACTCTCGAAATCCTCTCAAAGGTCTAGTTCTATTGCTTAACAAGCTCGGAGGTACATACAGATGCTTCAAAATATCGGCATTTAAAAGGAGCTCTCCCACGATTTCGTAATGTTGCACCTGGGCGTTAGGGTGATGTGTGGTTATATGCGATGAAAGAGCACGTGAGTCTCTAGTCTGAGCACCACAGGCGCAACAAACGTAGCACCTGGGTCGCACCCATTCCCCGCTCAGCACCGCTGGCTGTAGGTCATACGAAGGCGCAGACGGTCGCAATCCTAACGATGCTGGGAAGTCTAGACTATCGCCAAAAGGCATAGGTTTCGAAGACAACTTGACTACGTGTGATGAAGTAGCTGGTATCTCTCTGCTTTCTAAAATTTCTTTTAATTCTTTGCTAATTGCATTTTGCTTTTCAGTCTTTTTCTCCAGTGGAACAATACTGAATTTGTCTTCAAATTTGCGCCTCATGCACAGTTGTGTCCAGATGTCTAAACTAGACACCAAAGTTATGATGCAATTGTTAACGTGCGAATCACGTTTTATGTCAGCCAGATTCATAGGATTTTTTTCATTATCCCATTTCCACTTATGTTTGGGTGCAATTGTTCTTGGAATATACCCATCAAATGCGGTTCGAGAAAATTGATCTCCAGCTAGTAGAATCGGAAACCCTTCGGCAGTATTGATGACAACACTATTTTTTAATTTTCTCGTTTTAATAGTACTATCGGCATCTGGGTTAAAATTGAAAGATCCATCAAGAAACTTGCTTAAATTTTCTTGGACATTACTGGCCACTTTTGAATAGAATCCAGTATCAAAACACTTTTCGAATTTCTGAGTTGATTCATCTATAGTTTTAAACCAATCTTTCTTAGCAAATTCACTATTACGAGGAGATCGATGCACTACACCTAGTCTGGAAAGTATCTGATCAGCATCAGTATTATGGAAAGAAAAGTTAGCTGGCATCCGTTTGTTCCATTGTAAATCATCCAATACGATCACGGCATTCTTTTCTATTTCGGCGTTAGAACCTAAACTCTTGCTGGGTGGTAAAATTAGATTCGTTGTAATATTGTCTTCAATATCTGCATTGTCAGTTACTTGTGAAGGTTTTAGCTCACAGGATATTACAACCCCATTAAATCGGTTTTGGTTGCTGTAGTCCTTTATGTCTTTGGCGTCAATATTGATTGACTTTTGATTTTTCTTCGTCCCCGATGATGTTTTTTGTCGCAACTTATTGCGATAGGACATCTTTTGCTTCTCACAAACATTAAGTTTGTGTTCAGCCAATTCTGACGTAGAAATGAAACGTGTATGACAGTCCAGGCAAGCGAAATATTGATTTGGATGGCTATCAACCATGTGTCTAATAATATCGTTGGAATCTGGCGCAGCATGTTTACAGAAGAGACATTCGAAGACGAAGTTCTGTTTCGAACTCGAAAAATGTATGCGGCGTACATGTTTAGATACTGCTTGTTTGGAAGCGAATTTTCTATCGCAGTATGGACAAAGCAGTTGCAGGGCAGTGGACGAGTCAGACTTGTTAGGGAGATCATCTGGTTTAGGAGACGCTTTCAACGGCGTACTCGTTCGCTTCGGTCTATCCTGAGAGGACTTGCCGTCAGATTTACGTACAATTTTATTATTTTGGGGGCTGGATACGACAGACTTCCTTGGTCTCAGCCTTCCATTTAAACCAGACGATGATTCATCTTCACCCGTATTCATCGTGTATATGTCGTCAATCCTAAAATAAGACGTGAACAAAAATTAAAAAGAATAATAAATTAAAAAGATCTACAACAAATAAAATAAACCAAATCTTTAAGTTTATAACAAGAATCAATTTTAAAGTAAATCAAAATTTTACCAATATTAACGAGTGATATGTACGCATGCGATTTTTATTTTCTTAATCAATGTGGACAAATATCATAAATCTATAGATGAAAGATGTACACACAATGGTCGAAACACTAACCAATATATATATATATATATATATTATATTTATGGTTGTAATGATTTTTATTAAATAAAAAAATAATGTTTTTAACTTCTGTGAATTACACAAAAAATAGACATAAGTTTGTGTATCCAGTGACACAGTGGTGAAACCACTAAATGCGTATAATGTTCGTAATGCTTTTGTTTAGTTCGTAATGCTTTGTCTCCAGTGAAATATTAACTTCTTATGCTAAGTGCTAAGAGGCTGTCCATTAATCACGTGAGGCTCGAAAAAAATGGGGGGGTCCATAAAAAATCACGAAAGATCACAAGGGAGGACGGGGGGTATAGTACTAATAGTAATATATCATGTGTATTTCCGTGTTCCTTTGTACATATATATACACTTGTACATTAAATAATGTTCATGTATAAGTTTTTCGCATTTTTTTTTTTCATTTTTTTTATGTCAGTCGGAATTATACTTTATACCTGTATTTTATAAATATTTTAAACAAATAATAATATACTAAAAAATACACCTGATATGGGGGGGGGGGGGGGTCTTAAACCTCACCCAACCACGCCAAAAAAAACCTCACGTGATTAATGAACGGCCCCTATTTTAAAACAACAAAAAAATGTTAAGCCAAAGTCACATCGACACTTGGAGACAACACTAGTCACAAATCACGAATGTAGAATAGCTTTATTTTCGTAACAGTAATAAGTTATTCCATTCATGACACGTTTTAGGGTTTCGTAAACAAACAAGGAACCCTTATAGTGTGTCCGAAAGTCCGTCCGTCTATCCGCAGCTTAGCTTGTTCTCTTCAAGAATATACATATTAGTCAAGCCGAAAAAGTAGACATGTAAAATCTTGAACGCAAACTGTTTTTCGTAGTACCTCACCTACAATTGAAGAGGGATGTTATTTTTTCAACCGACGTCAAAAAGGTTTTCAATGCAATACTGTGTGTTATTTTCTTTTGTATAAACATAACAAACGTTACGTGTTTTTTTCCGTCAATTAGGATCCGTTTTCTAAATATATTTTGCAATCGCAAAGATATTTTTATATTTTTTAAAAAATATAAAATATTCATAACATCAAAAACAGTCAAAAACGTCCTGTTTATAATACGCTTAGAGCTCATTTGACGACCTCCGTGGCCGAGTGGTTTGTAAGCCGGGTCGCCGACTCGAGAGGTCCCGGGTTCGAATCCCGGTGGAGGCAGATGTATGTGTGATGAATACAAGAATTTGTACTCCAGTCATGGATATTTAATATGTAATATGATATTTCTATCAGCAATTTTATTTTTCGATTTAATTTTCTGTTTTCTTCAACTCTTTAAATTATATCGTGTTATATTACCTACAAAATCGTGGAAACAAAAATGGTTTTACGTTTTAAATTGTATTGCACTTGTGTTTGTATCAAAGTATATATATCTAACAGTAAGCTGCGTATTCATTAAGCAACATTAGCGTATAAACACTGTTTATAAACAGTGTTTGACAATGTTGCATCACATTCGTATACAATCTAGAAATTGTTTATAAACAAAGGATTACACATTGTTTCAGATACATGTTGCCGTGTTCTCCACTCTGAATAGAGAGCAAGACGAATCACTTAGTTAATAAACAAAAACAGGACTGTAAGGAGGGGCGTCCCAAAACTCTGGACTGGTGTGGAGTCTAGTAAGTCCTTCGTTTTGATCGCAGAATGAGCGGGCGCATTGTCGTGGTTAAGAAGGACCCCGCGGAGCCCGGTGTAAGTTCGATTGTTGCTCATTGCAGAAAAAACTTCTTTCAGGCATTTTGTGTTATACCAGTCGGCGTTAATGCTGCTTTGGTCTCGAAGTGGAATTGAAATTAGGTACCCCGTCAAAGTGAAGAAACTAGCGATCGAAATTTTCCTTGCACTCCTCGATCGCTTCACTTTCGTTGGCGTTGATTCATTTTGAAACAGCCAAACTGTCGACTGACGCTTTGTTTCTGGATCCTTATGATAAAACAGGATTCGTAACCTGTCACAATATCGTCAACGCGCCGTGACGAGCCTGCATCAAATTTAAGTATCATATCACTGCACCAATCCACACGGGCCTGCTTCTGAGCTTCGGTGAGGTTGTGCGGCACCCAGAGGGAAACTATCCTCCTTACGCAAAAGTGCTCGTGCAAAATCTTGTGAACACTTCCTGAACCAATCTGCAGAGCATGTTGAATCTCTTCGTACGTAATTCGTCTGTTTTCTTGAATTATTTTTTTTACTGCCAGCACACTTTCTTCGGTGACAGCCGTCGTCTTACGACGCACATTTTGGAAATCTATGAAATAATTAAAACACGTAATGTTCGTAACTGCAACTTGATTCTCGCATAAGTCTGCAAGATATCGCACAAAAATAAAAAAAAAATGTCAGTATAAAATTATATTAGTGACGTTGGTTTCAATAGAAGTCTTGAGTAAGAATATCGTCAATTTTTGAATCCTGATTCTGGTCAGAGGAGTTGTTTGGCTGTAAGACAGCTTCCAAGTGTACTGCAAAAGCTTCTGCTTTTTCTGTATCTGTTCGGGCCGATTTATGCTTGGATGGCCAAATACAGCTGATAAAGAACAACTAAAGTTATTGACCCAGCTCTGTCTTTCAATTTCATTGAAGTCGTTTGATATTTGTTCGGTTTCATAGGGTTCGAGTAAATAATGTGTGATATTTTTTATGATTACCACAGCCGTTCCCGCGCTTTACCATCTGGGTGATTATAACGTAGGTGCAGTAATTTCGAATATTTATGGACGTTTGAGCAGTGGATGTGACTCTGAAATTAGAACAACGTAAAGTCTGTTGTATTCAATAAGCGTTTTCAGTTCATGTACGTTAGACAAGGTCCATTGATTTTAAACGTAGCTATACGTAGAGAAGTCATGGTGACAGTTTTGCTAACAGGGTGGTGATAAGCTCCACAAGGGAACTTATTTGTTGGATTATTATGACATTTTCTACGCTTTGCTTTAAAAGTATAAACTTGATAGTATTGCTGATAAGTTGTGCCTCAGCGGGGTTTTAACTATTTCAGCATACGATACTCAGCTTGGTACAAGTTGGTCAGATAACAAATTGTTTAAAATTACTTGGATAACGGGGTCAGGTGTCAAACGCTGCTGGGCGGGCTTTTGTCGTTAGGGTTAGGTCTTTTTCGTCGTGCTTGTAGTTGTTAGTAGAGTTCGCACCGCTTGGTTTTAGCGGGATGGTCCTTAGAACATAAGACGCATCTTGCACGTGAATTCCTTTCGTTTTAGGACAGTCAGAAGTTTTATGCCCATCACCGGATTTGACGCACCTGAAAGGTCTCATGCAATTGTTTTTGGAATGTCCATACTGTTGACAACGATGAGACTGAACAATCGTATTTGATTGACGAGGATCTTTTATTTTAATGCATTGCTTGTAGATATAATTGATATTTTCAATATTTTGAATATTAATACTGGGTTCAACGTTAACAAGAAAAGGAAAATGTAGGCTTTTTTCTGGTCCATAACTAGCATTAATTATTTCTCATATTTCTTCGATAAAAGCGCTGTGTGGAGTAGTATGATGAAGGTTTTTTATAAAAAAATCTAAAGCATTTTGTATCTTTCCTTGTGAAGGTATGTTCTATGAGTATGAGACCGTTTTCTCTTATGAGGTTGATAACATTTTATACTCTTCTGCAGAGTGAACAAGAATACGTTTTATGTTTTTATTAACAATGTTTACAATAACGTTATTTCTGCTATTCACTGTTTTAATAAGATAAGGAAATATATAAATATCCCCTATTGAAAATAATTGGACGGGGGGGGTTTGTTTGTTGGAAGCTCTGCATGTTTTAGTGTGGTGTCTCTTCCAGAGATTTAGGCATGTCACTCAATGAAGATGCACGACTTCGGTTAAAAAGTATGGGTGGAACACTTATTGAGTAAGTAATTATTGGGAGCCTATGGAAGTTGAATCTTTCGGGCTTTTACTGACAACAAAGTTGTTCTTGCCAACAGCATTTTCCTAAGCCTGGTCTTGTTTTTCCATTTTGTATTTTTCTCCAATTTGATAGAATAATTATTGTAAGGGTAACATTTTTTCATATGAAATTTTTGTCCGTTCATAGTCGACTGGTAGGAGACTGATTTGAAAGGTAATCATGGGTAGATTTGTAAAATTTTGAACAATAAAATGTCAACTGTTAGCTATTTTTCACATTTTTCACTGTTTTAAGGATAATTATATTTATGATCAAAACGAGGACCTTCAAAAGCAACCATCTACCGCTGGTGTAGCGAGTTCAAACGCATTCGTCGTCTTACTTTGGGGAATGAACAAAAAAGTGGTCATCTTACGACGGCTGTCACCAAAGAAAATGTGCTGGCAGTAAAAAAAATAATTCAAGAAAACAGACGAATTACGTACGAAGAGATTCAGCATACTCTGCAGATTGGTTCAGGAAGTGTTCACAAGATTTTGCACGAGCACTTTTGCGTAAGGAGGATAGTTTCCCTCTGGGTGCCGCACAACCTCACCGAAGCTCAGAAGCAGGCCCGTGGGGATTGGTGCAGTGATATGATACTTAAATTTGATGCAGGCTCGTCACGCGCCTTTACGATATTGTGACAGGTGACGAATCCTGGATTTATCAATACTATCCAAAACAAAGTGTCAGTCGACAGTTTTCCTGTTTCAAAATGAACCAAAGCCTACGAAAGTGAAGCGATCGATGAGCTCAGGGAAAATTTTGATCGCTAGTTTTTTCACTTTGACGGGGTACCTAATTTCAATTCCACTTCGAGACCAAAGCAGCATCAACGCCGAATGGTATAGCACAAAATGCCTGCCAGAAGTTTTTTCTGCAATGAACAACAAGCGACCTAATACCGGGCTCCTTCTTCCCCACGACAACGCACCCGCGCACTCTGCGATCAAAACGAAAGACTTCCTGGACTCCACACCAATTAGAGTCTTGGAACACCCTCCTTACAGTCCTGATTTGGCTCCGTGTGACTTCTTTTTATTCTCTAAAATAAAAAATCTGCTCAAAGGGATTCAATTTCATCGCCGGAAGAAGCGCTAGCAGCGTTTGAGAAGGCCGGAGGAAGGGGTGTCTGCAGAGGACTGAATTTTTTTTTTGCAAAATTTGTTCAGACGCATGTCATTTTGTATAGAGGCTGGTGAAAGTTCTTTGAAAAGATTTAATAAAAATATTTTTCCATAAAGTTAGTTTTTTAGTTTCTCAAAACTTTCGGAGTGTCCCACGTACAGGAACTAACTAAACAAAAACTTTTTAAATTTAACAGAAGTAAGCGAACAACCATAACCATCAATAGCTTATATACAGTAAAACCCGTTAAAGACGATTTTATAGGGACTCAACCAAAATCGCGATTTAAGCGGGAAAGCGTATTATGCGGGATTGCGGGATAAGAACATTACGAATGTAGGTTTTGAGGTATTAAATGTACAATATTTAATTTTTATAAAAAAATGTGTATTATTATTATTACGTTTGTGTTTAAATGAATCATTACTATTTTAGTATGACAAAAAGATTTTGATGCATTAGCAATTACAAAATTTTCGCATAATTTAGCTTTTGTGGTGCGTCTTCTCTTACATTCAAAGAAGTTACATAACGTCTTAACTCATTAACTGCTGATAATGTCTGGGCGTTTGACAAAATCGGAATTGACTCATCTTCTTCTTGATCATTATCACTTACGGCCTGTTCTTGTGTATTATTCACATTCTCAATAAGATCTTCAATTGATTAAAATTGATACGATGCCACATTGTCATCAATGGAAGCATATCCAGGAAAACCCTGGGGGTCACTACCGTGCGTCGCCCTACAGTCGTCACGTTGATCGCTGGCCGCTACCGCAAGAGGTAATATGTGTGGTACGTGTTGGCGATTTAGGCATATTAAACGGGATGACGAATCGTATTAAGCGTTAATAAATGTATGCAAACATGTCTCAAGTTGCAGGGACTGATGCAAAATGCGGATTATGCGAGAAATCGTATTAAGCGTGATCGTATTAAACGGGTTCTACTGTATATATACAACGTCCATACCAAATTATAGCTTTCTATAACGAAAAGAATCCGAGCTAAGTCACGGTCATCCAAAACAGAGTAAATACTAAATCCATCCAAAATGTGAAACTAATATTCAATTCCACGCAGGACCCCACTTGAATCTTGCACAACAAGTATGTTGAGGACTCTAGTTCAGTTTTCGTGAGGATATTTGCCAATACTACTTTACTGTTCTTTTCAAATACGCATACCCAGACATGACTTATGCTAATTTTATTAAACTATGAGAATAAAACACATGTCCATAATAGTCAAAATATTTTATAGCTGTTGTCTGCTGCAAAACCTATAAAAATACGTTCCTGACAATTTGTGCTTCTATATTTTTTTGCGATTGTGTGTAGATGTTTCACCTTATATGTATATATGAAAAATAATATCATGACCATTATATGTACATCACACGACTATGAAAATTACTGATATTAACCAGATTCTCATTTTAATTTTAATTAATTGTGAATTATTTCTATAAATATGTAGCATACTTTTATTCATCGGAACTTAGTCAAAGGTTACTTTGGACAATGCACGCTACAGGCCACACTACCGATATTTGTATCCGAGTATTTGTACATATTGTTTAACAGTAATTGGAGATTTACTCGATCGTCGTGGAGACCTATTTGATTTTGAAGGTTAAATGGTAAAAAGAATATTATTTTGAGTAATGTAATGACAGTAGGTATCGTATAAATATTTACGACTTGAATGACATAAACATACAGCGAAAACTTGAAAACCTTATACTTAATATGTATATATACAATAATAATATGACAATACTTGAATTGTCAAAGGGTGTTTAACTAAAAAAAATTGACGCGTTTAGTTCGTCTGGTAAGCAGCCGTAGCCTATAAGGGTAATAGCTATAGGCACAGCACACACCAGGAAAGGCGCGGCGAAGATACGAAGAAGTTAACAATTTAAGTGAAACCCGATTTTTTATATCAAGAGTTAAAAAATTCAGGACTAACATGGAACAATACACAATCGGCGCACAGCTCCCCGCTCCTTGGCTCTAGGCCGCGTTCATAGTCGCCACGCGCAGCTCCGTGGCTCTTGCCTGCGCTCGGAGTCACCGCGTTAAGTATCTTCGCCGCGCCTCTCCTGGTGTGCGCTGCGCCTTATAGATAAAGCTATGAACGGAAAACTTTATTTTCATTTATCGATATTTTATTTGTGTTAGATCTGTCAAATGTGGCCTGGAACCTGCAGAGGGCTTTTTAAGAGCGTTCTATAAAACTAGAATACTTACCTAGTCAGTAGGAGCTGATGATCTGGTGAAAAGACATCTAAACAATCGTCTGATGAGAACGGATCCGGCGCGATGATCCGAGGATTCGATTCTACATCATTCTTAGGTTTTGATGTCAATAAACCGACATCAGGCCGGTATCTAGACAAAATTATAAGTACAATCAATCTTTAGGAATATAGAAAGTAATATCCCAAGAATGGAAATAAGCTCTGATGGCATAATAAATTACCTTTACGCCAGCAAAAATTAAAATTATAATGGTCCTTGCTTTTACAAATTTAAAAAAAAATGAAAATCCGTTGAGTATTTAAACCAAAAGGGTTCACCAGCTCAATGCAATATGATAAAGTAAGCTAATTCTTTAGTCAGCTCAGCGCACAGATCACACTATAACACAATCAGGCAATAGCGACAAAGACATCAATTACAGAGTGTTTCGCAAAAAAGAAAAATACAGCTTTTCGCACTATTTCAAACCCTTATTTTATCACTCGCTAGTTGCTGGCATCATTCATTTGTTTTTGTTTTCAATAAACAGCTTTATTTTGCGTTCGTAAATAAAACCTCCTCGGTTGCCACGTTCCGGAGTAATGAATCGTTCCATTTTTAAATTACACGACAGATATAGATTTTCATACATTTTTTTTTTTAGTTTTTTAACAGAAAAGTTGTTGATTAATAAGAAGACAAGAACTAGCGTGCGGCGTCGCTCAAATTTTCTACACCTGTTGTATATAGTAGCCATTTCATAAATAATTGAATTGGCATAATTTTTATCATTTTTATAATATATTACAAATATGTAGTTACTAAAGCTTGCGCAGTCCCTAACCCTAAAACATTTCACCCAAAACCACCACTAAAAAATATTTTTAGTAAACTGGATGTCGGTTATTAGGAAGTTTGAATGTAATGGAAACATTTACTACAGTAAATTATAATATGGTCTCTGAAAAGAATAATGCAACTAACTCAATAGATATGCATCTTTGTCGCTGTTCTTCGAATGCCAATAATAATAATACAACGAAAATGGACTAAAAATGTTGTTTCAGCTCGGCCAAACATGTTAGCGTGTATTTCGCATAGCAAATTCGCAAATTCAATACATAAATGAAAACTAAATTCTTCACAGCTCTTTTTCTGAAGGTGATGTGTCGGACCCACAATAGTGTTATTAAATGCACACTAAAAATATATCCATAGTTGATAGTATCTTGATAAAAAAATTAAGTTTGATAATATTTAATGAATTTTAGTAAGATCTTAAAATTCATTTTTAATTTATAAATGCAGCTCTAAATATGACTCTAATGCTAAATTCTTTTGGGCCAGCTTACCACTTATTTAAGCAATATTGTAGAAAAATACAGTACATTGATAAAATTCACAAATATTGATAAAAATCTTAAGTTTGATAATATTCAATGAATTTTTGACGACCTCCGTGGCCGAGTGGTTTGTAAGCCGGTTTTAATGGTGTCGCCGACTTGAGAGGTCCTGAGTTCGAATCCCGGTGGGGGCAGATGTTTGTGTGATGAATACGGGCATTTGTACTCCAGTCATGGATGTTTAATGTGTATTTCTATATAAATATACTTATATGTATATGTACAGTATGAGTATTCTATCCGTTACCCTAGCATGCCATAACACAAGCCATAAAATGCTTACTTTGGGGCTAGGCTAATTGGTGTGAGTGTTTTAAATATTTATTTATTTATTTTAATAAGATCTTGAAATATTAATTCTATTTATAAATGAATCTTTAAATAAAACCCTAACGTTAATTCCTTTTGGATCACCTTAACACGTTTTCTTACGATATTGTATTTTAAGTGATATTCGAATATAGTACAATTATTAAATTCATATAAGTACGTACAGAAAAGAAAAGAAAATTAGGAATGATGTTTTTGAAGTGAACATTAACATAATGCAGAGCAGTTCATATAGATACAACAATAAAATTCACAAATCAACACACAAAAAGGAAATAAATACAAGTAACTAAATTACAGAACTACTAAAGATAAGCGGTAGCTGACGTTTTAGAAATCGAAAAAATCTAAGGTTCCTATTTGAACTTTGAATGCGTTCATCGCACGAATTCTTTGTACGAAGCAGCGATTATGTTATTTAAAAACCATTAAAAAAAATTGTGCTCACATTGCGTTACAAAATAGTAAGAGAAATAAAACATCATATTAATTGATATTAAGAAACTAATATAGCCTTGGCCAAATGTAAAAATTTTGCTCACCTAAATTTTATTGAACTTGGCTGCTCAATGCTGCTTATATAGTTTGTATTGGTATAATTATATTCATTTTTTAGCTGAACAAACAATTCTTAAGCTGTCCAGTATAACAGTATTTTAATATAACAAAATTTTGATTGAATTAGAAAGCATTATATTTCTGACGATAAGTTGCTTTTCAACTTGTCATTTTGGCTGGTTCAAAACGTTTTTTGGTTCACAAAAATATTTACTACTTATTTATGTTAGGAAATATTCCCGGTAGCAAGAACTGCTCACCGTTGACACGCACATATTCAACAAATATGGAATTGAAATATAGTGATTAAAAATAGCACGCACGATGATCGTATTGGGTTCAACTAGAAAGACACCTTATACAAAATAAAACTAGAAAAAATCACTCACAGAATTACAAACCTCTCTTTAAAAAATTTCGAACAGCACATCTTGACAAAATTAGTTTTCAAATTCAGAAACAATAAACATATTATAGAATAAACTTTAAATAATCGTAATTATCAATTATTGAAAGAAACTTGGTTGGACGCTCAAAATTAATGGAACAAATAGTGACAATAAAAATATATAATCAAAAGCCACATCTTGTAAATTGACGAAACTCGCGATGAGAACGCTAGACGTCCGTTCACCTACAACGCCGGCAACGGAATAACGCAATTTTCAACTACAGGTAATACTTCGGGAGCTCGAATCGAATAGGGCTGTCTCCATGACGACCGGGTTCGTCAGTAGTTGTGATAGCTTTACAGCGTAACGGCTTTGTGTGTATACAGTGCACTTACATATGCAGTTGTGGGGCGGCGCAAAGCGCCCGCCCCCGGGTGTACGCAGGCCCACACGTGGCGCCTTCTCCTCGCTGTGGCCAATACGTGAAAACAACTACAAATTATTTCACAGCGGGCATGCGTCGTCACAGCCAGCTTGATGCGTCTCAAGGCTCATATCAAACAATAACACCTAAAAAAAAAAAAAATGATATCAGTTTTGTAATGATTTGTGTACATTCACACAAACACGGCGGTACATGTCTGCGTAGCGGACAGGGTGGAGTCATAGAAAAGGGGGTTAGGGGTAACTGAGCAAACTAAATCAAGTATTGTCTCATTCTATTGTTATTGCGAAGAAAGTGACTGCAACAGCTTTAGTTAAACTTAAAGTAAAATCATTTCTGTGTGCGGCCGTAAGATATAACGTAATTTATTTATAATAAATAACGCTGTAAAAACAAACAGTTCAGGGCAGTACTGATATTAATAATAAATAAATAGGATATTTGTTTCTTAGATTTTCTTCACGCACATCACTCATTAAATAAAACTAGTTTTAACGGGTTAATGCACGAAACTTTGTTTATTTATTGACGTATCGCAGCCTTTTCAGGTCTGCTTCGTCAGAATGATTTTTTAATTTGTATTTTGTTTATTTTTTTTTAAATATAGTGAGAACCCTCAGACGAATGCGATAATAGGTTGACTAGAGTGTTTTTAATACTTAAATTATATGCAGTTGCATACACTAATTTATCTTTACTCATAGGAACAATTGAAATTATAAAACCAAGTAGCTAGGAACAAAGAAGTATTTTGCAAGCTTTTCTGAAATCCTATAAACAAAATACAACGGCAGAAAATTATATGGGAAGCGCGCGGGTTCCATAGAAAATGGCAAAAAACGGAACCCTTATGGATTCGTCATGTCTGTCTGTCCGTCCGTCCGTATGTCACAGTCATTTTTTTCCGATAGGAACTTTACTGTTGAAACTTGGTAAGTAGATGTGAATCGAGTTAAGATTTTTAAAGCAATACATTTTGGGTGTTCCCCATACTTAGACCTGAAAATAAAATTAAAACATTTCATCAAACCCATACGTGTGGGTATCTATGGATAGGTCTTCAAAAAAGACATTGAGAGACACTTCCAAAGTGTTAAATTGTGTGTGTGCCCCCTGTACCTTCTAAAATAAGAGAATGATAAAACTAAAAAAATATATGATGTACATTACTATGTAAACTTCCATCGAAAATTGGTTTGAACGAGATCTAGTAAGTAGTTTTTTTTTAATACGTCATAAATCATAACTCCAATTGACCTTTAAAAAAAATACACTATTATTAAAACATCGATCAAAGTTACAACGAACTACAAGAACTTTTTATATTATGTTAGTTGCTGCAACAGAACCCATCACGGCCACTTCTATCTATCCCAACAAAATTAAAACTCCCTTCGCTAAAATGGCTGAAAAAAAGAACGGCGAATGTAGGCCCAAATGCTTTAGAAGCCGTTCAATGATAGAAACATTAAAATTTTAAATATGGGGACTTATAGTAATTTTTAAAATATAAACCAGAGTTTTAAAAGCTTGCATTCAGAAATAAAATAATTTAGGTTTCTATAACGAAACAACACATCCATAGCAATAATAAAACGAGAAAACAGTGTGTTCTTGAAAATAAAAAATAGTAAAAATTATGTTTATATCCTACTCAACAAGCTCTAGACAATGATGTGTCACATGCTGGAGTAAAAAAGAAAAAAAAATCGTCTCCTTCTATGTATGTAACCAACCATGAAAAATAATTGAAATACACCCTTGAGGAGTGCCCGTCCTGGTCTCGACCCCCAGCAGCGTCATATCGTCATGGCGATAGGCGAGATTTGGGGTGAGGAGGAGTTCCACATAACCTCGTCTCTCACCCAATCCCTCTTCCTCTAACTCACTGACAGAAACACCACAAAAAGGTAGTATTATTTTTCAGTGGCCTTCTGTAAGGTGAAGATTAGTTACATTGCTTTTCTCTCATAAAATCTTTACTAAATTAATATGGGGCCAACTCGCAAAAAACTGATTCAAACAAAAAAGTATCATCTTAATCGGTCCACGCACCAGGAAGACATGAGCGAACAACAATAAAAATATAAACTGTATCACAGTATAAAGGATAGAATATTCCAGTAGTCATGCAAGATGAAATCATAAATGCTACATTTGATAGGAAAACTCCCCAGATTTACATTTTTCAACAGTGGAAAGTGAAATAATATCTATGCACATAGAAATCGAGACAACTTGAACGCGTGCTTTTCTAATTTTTTTAAAACTATTAATTGATTTGATACTTTTTAGTCTTTGATAACGAAATATTTTTAACATTTATTTTAAGTAGGCGAATGAGCCCGCATCCTGTCCATCTCCGCCAGTGCATCTGTATTGCATAGAGTTTTACCTGTCAGCTTAGAACAATCTAGCTCTGAGGTTCCCAAACTTACAAGTATCACGCCTCCCTACTGCTTAAATGAATGTGCCTACGCCTCCCCTAGGTTCAGCAATTGTAAAATTAAATAATTAGGGTAATAAAGTCCAAAAATACATTTCCAGGTGTTTTATTATGAAAAATATTGCTTTTACACACTTATTATAAGAAGAATCAATGTGACGGATGTGCTTGCATGTTTTTGACAAGATTTCCAATTCTGGGTTCAATAGAAGAAAATGCACAACGTAGATCACTAGCAATGTCTAGTTTGCTTCTGCTGAAAACGCTTTTTCGCATAAGTAAGTGCTTGAAAAGAGTAAAAAGAGTTTTAGTGCTTGCTCTGCTGTGCTGGGATCAACTTTGAGATATTTAACCCTAAATTGTGCCTTATCCATCTTCTCAAAATCATATTGGGCAGCAGAATCATTTTTGATTTCCAAAACTTGCTCTTGTAATGTATCTGGCAGAATTTCTATGTTAACGTGAAAAAGATCGGTTGCTAATCGATAAATAATATTATCGCACGAATCGGGAAAGAAGCGCTTGAAATCGTCCGTGAGCTGCTGCAAATGGTTTGATATTTTATTCTTGGTATCAGTTTCATCCAAAATCTCCTTAAAGCACGCTTCTTCTGTGATCGCAAATAGTTTAGGAAAGCAGGAATAGTTGGACGCCAAAATTTTGCGTTTCCAGAGTTGCAACTTCTCACTATATGCCGTGATAGCATCCCGATGATAAATTATGTTGGAGTCTCCGCCTTGTAATTTCAAGTTAAAGGAATCAAAAATATCTGATAGATAAGCAAATATTACTTGGACCCATGGTTTTTTAAATTCAACAAACAATTTACTTTGTTTTTGAATTTCTAAAAACTGAATTACTTCATCTCGCAGTTCAAATAATCTGGCCAACATATTGACTTTCGAGAGCCAGCGCACCTCTGTATGAAATAACAATGTCTTGTGTTCTGTGCCCAAATCTTCACAGAGAGCCGTAAAAAGCCGCGTGTTTAATGCACTCTTTTTAACATAATTTACAATTTTAATGTATAATTTTAAGACGTCATGGAGTTCGTTTGAAAGTGTTTTAGCTGCCAAGGCTTGTCGGTGTATAAAACAGTGAATAGTAATTACGTTGGGATTTTTTTCTTTGACCATCTGCACGAATCCTGAACGACATCCAAGCATTGCCGGAGCGCCGTCTGTGCAAACACCTATCAACTTTTTCCATGACAGTTCAGGTTTATCAAAGAATCCAGAAATTGCTGTCCTTATATCAATTGCTTTCGAAGTTGTCGCTAACTCTGTAGAAAACAGCAACTCGTCTTTGATTGTTTCGATTTGTATGTACCGAACGAAAACTAGCAGTTGACAACATTGCGCAACATCCGTACTCTCATCCAACTGTATTGCAAAAAACATGATTCTTTCACGGCCTCCACTACTTGATTTTTAATATCTTCAGCCATATCATCAACACGACGTTTCACAGTATTGTCAGAAAGAGGTATTTGTGAAATTTTTTGTTTACTTTCTGTTCCAAGAACCATTTCAGCTGCTTTCAGTTGAAGAGCTAGATTCTAGCTCTTCAATCTGGAGATCACTAAGTGATTTTACTCCACTAAGCGCCACATACGCCTGTCCATCCGTAAAAGTACAGTACTCCGAATACACCACCGCGTGGTCTACCGTACAGCCTTGCATCTTGTTTACGGTAGATGCCTAACTTAAAGTCGCTGGGAGCATGCGCTTTTCCACCATACCGTAGCTATACTTGGCCGGGAACTGGATGCTTAAAGGCAGAATTAGATGCTTACCGTCGTTTCCGAAATTAACTTTGATGGACGGTATGTCGGTTTCATACATTTGGTCGCGTCTAAAGTGCAGCCAGACGATGTCCGAGATGAATCCGATACTCCCATTCACTAGCCCCTTCTCCACGTAGATATTGGATAGTAACATGATTTTAGCCACTTTGAAAATTCTTAATTTTCTCGGTATTCCACCCGTTTTATTTATATCGCTGGAAATAATGAACTCCAATGAAGTATTTTTAAGGTTTCGGGTCGAACAATAAATTGGTCTTGAGCCTTTATGTCGTATATTCAAGTACATTTTAGTTCGTAAAATTTCAAAACTTCATTGTTGTACTTCTAACTTGGTCGTTTGTTGAATAAAATACGCAACAGTTTTTCAAGCGCAAACTCGACGGTAGCATTCATTTCATCATCATTCATCTATATACTTTATACCTATTTACGGGATTGTTACCATGTATCTTGTTTGTCTCCGATATTTCGGTACAGTTGCAAGCGCAACGGAGTAACACTCTATATACATTTTATACAGGCACCTATGTCAATATTTACACTATTTATATATTTACACCAGTGGCGAAGCCACCTTAGAACACGATTCCCATCGGCTTCCCTTTGCAGATTCTAATACTAATTCATTCATTCTAATACATTCTAGCACAAGCGACCATAGACGTATAATAACGTTAATGCAAGCGACATAATTACATGGCGCGCTTTGTAAAAATATTCTTCAATATGCTGGATACAAAATACGCAATGTATAATGTAAAATATAAAATCGTGCAAACGCACACAGATCCGCGCCGCGGTAGAAGGCTGCATAAGCCGCTAATAATATTTTGAATTCAAATAAATAAAATGTAAGCACTTTACGCACACAT